TAAGCACCACCTGATTTTATTGAGAATAACATAAGACACCTTGACACATGATTTTAAATTCTAAGCAACACCTAATTTTATTGACAGTAACATAAAATACCTTGGCACATAATATTAAATTGTAAGCACCACCTGATTTTATTGAGAATAACATAAGACACCTTGACACATGATTTTAAATTCTAAGCAACACCTAATTTTATTGACAGTAACATAAAATACCTTGGCACATAATATTAAATTGTAAGCACCACCTGATTTTATTGACAGCAATATAAGACACCTTGGCACATGATGTTAAATTTAAAAAACCCCTAATTTTATTGACAGTAACATAAGATACCTTGACACAATATATTAAATTGTAAGCATCACCTGATTTTTTTGACAGTAACATAAAATACCTTGGCACATGATGTTAAATTTAAAGAACACCCAATTTTATCAACAGTAACATAAGATACCTTGACACATTATATTAAATTGTAAGCATCACCTGATTTTATTGACAGTAACATAAGACAACTTGACACATGATGTTAAATTGTAAGCATCACCTGATTTTATTGACAATAACATAAGACATTTTGACACATGATGTTAAATTCTAAGCAACACCCAATTTTATCGACAGTAACATAAGACACCTTGACACATTATGTTAAATTCAAAGTAACACCTACTTGATTTTATCGACAGTAACATAAGACACCTTGACACATGATGTTAAATTCGAAGTAACACCTACTTGATTTTATTGACAGTAACATAAGACACCTTGACACATGATGTTAAATTTAACTAACACCTACTTGATTTTATTGACAGTAACATAAGACACCTTGACACATGGTGTTAAATTCAAAGTAACACCTACTTGATTTTATTGACAGTAACATAAGACACCTTGACACATGATGTTAAATTGTAAGTAACACCTACTTGATTTTATTGACAGTAACATAAGACACCTTGACACATGATGTTAAATTGTAAGTAACACCTACTTGATTTTATTGACAGTAACATAAGACACCTTGACACATGATGTTCAATTTTAACTAACACCTACTTGATTTTATCGACAGTAACATAAGACACCTTGACACATGATGTTCAATTTTAACTAACACCTACTTGATTTTATCAACAGTAACATACATAGATATTCAGGTAACTTTAAACGTAGCTACTAGAAGTAACAGACATCTAGAGGCATCACTTTTAATTGTAAAAACAAATGCTGCGTCTTGTGGTTGCTTTGGCCTAAATATTACCTTCCAGTCTTTCAAACTTAATAAATCTTTAATTAATATGTCCAAGTTTTATTAACAACATCATATTAATAGTTGATTAAATTTAAATAGCAAGTTTGTCATTGAGATTTACAACAAGCAAACAAACTTTTTGTACATAATGTATATGTAATACTTTATAATAAATGTACAAGTTATCCTCAAAATACAAGCAACTTCCTTACGAAATCCACTTCCAAGTATAATACAGAACGGTTGACAAAACCAAAAGTTACATCAACTGGCCTTAATTCAGTTGGAAGTGCTCTGTGTTTAGATATAAAATCATATATTTGAATCTTATCCAAACATTTCATGAAATAACATTCTACAAGATATTCAAATGGAATAAAGTCAAACAACTTGACAATAGACAATTGATGCAGCTAACATACCACATTGTCAATATAAAGAGATTTATTAAAAAAACAGAAGCAAGTAATAACTGCTTGCCACATGAAATTCCCTCAAAGTTGATAGCCTATTTTCAACTTCTACAGAACAGACTGTACAAGTCCCAATAGAATAAAGGGAACATACAAGATTATACAAAACATATATCACAAAAGTTCCTCACTTTTAGTCACAAAACTTTACATTAAAAACATATCTGAAAGTTTGTCAACTGTTAAGGTACATCTTTCACAATCCAAAGAGATTTAAGAAGCATCAAAAGTATGAGTCATGTAATCTTTGTTCAACAAATAATAAAGGTTCATGACTAGTTAAAAATTACATATTTAATTTGTTCTCCTTAACACAGGAAACAAAAAGTGAACAAGACAAAAGGTGATGGAATGAATGGAGTTAAACTTTGGTTTCTGGACCCTCTGTTCCATGTTTGAAAGAATTTCTGAGACAGGCGAGTTGAAACGCACAAATATAACCAAATACCTTGTTGTACCACTCTGGTGACCTTCCCCTGAAAGTACAAAATAGTTTTGTTATTACAAGTTAAAAACACAACAATAACTAATTAGCTTGAAACTTTCATCAAAACTATTACGCACAAAATCTTATTATTTTATACCTTTAAATGGTAAAATTTTACTACTGCTACTATTTCTAAGTGCTAGATAACCTACATAAAAGTGAAACAGTGGATGTTAAACATATTTTATTATTAGTCTTAGCTGGTTCTTTTCAATGCAGATGCCCCCCATTGGCACAGCAGTATATCTGCAGACTTACAAAGCTAGAATCCGGGTTTCTATACCCGTGGTGGGCAGAGTACAGATAGCCCATTATGTAGCTTTGTTCTCAATTACAAACAAACAAACAAATCAATGCACATAATACTTAAAGTTACATGGTAAATTCTGTAAAATCACAAATAATAAACACTTGGTAGTTACAGGTTTCTACTACTAGCTATTATGCTTTGACAAGGTTTTAATTAAATTCTGTCTATTTTTACGTCCAATTTTTATACCACCAAAGTTACAGCTAGGATAACATAAAATAATTTTTAATACTCATATAATCACAGGTAATACAGAAAGTTTTTAGTTATAACTTACACAGTTAAGAACTACTAAACTACCAGAATCAACTCGTCTTTAGTTACAAGTTACACAGTTAAGAACTACTAAACTACCAGAATCAACTTCTCTATAGTTACAAGTTACACAGTTAAGAACTACTAAACTACCAGAATCAACTTCTCTATAGTTACAAGTTACACAGTTAAGAACTACTAAACTACCAAAATCAACTTCTCTATAGTTACAAGTTACACTGTTAAAAACTACTAAACTACCAGAATCAACTTCTCTTTAGTTACAAGTTACACAATTAAGAACTACTAAACTAGAAGAATCAACTCCTCTCTAGTTACAAGTTACACAATTAAGAACTACTAAACTACCAGAATCAACTCCTCTTTAGTTACAAGTTACACAGTTAAGAACTACTAAACTACCAGAACCAACTTCTCTCTAGTTACAAGTTACACAGTTAAGAACTACTACACTACCAGAATCAACTTCTCTCTAGTTACAAGTTACACTGTTAAGAACTACTAAACTACCAGAATCAACTTCTCTATAGTTACAAATTACACAATTAAGAACTACTAAACTACCAGAATCAACTTCTCTTTAGTTACAAGTTACACAGTTCCTTCTTTATCAAGAGCCACAAAATGCTTCAGTCTTTAAAGTGGTGGTTCCTCTTTCATCAAGAGCCACAAAATGCTTCAATCTTTAAAGTGGTGGTTCCTCTTTCATCAAGAGCCACAAAATGCTTCAATCTTTAAAGTGGTGGTTCCTCTTTCATCAAGAGCCACAAAATGCTTCAGTCTTTAAAGTGGTGGTTCCTCTTTCATCAAGAGCCACAAAATGCTTCAATCTTTAAAGTGGTGGTTCCTCTTTCATCAAGAGCCACAAAAGGGTTCACAGTGTCTTTTTAAACCTTTTTAAGTACTGTAGTTATTACTCAGAAACATGAGAAGCTTTCTTGTTCAATCTGCTCAAGCTTTATGCTATAGCTTCTCCCAATAGACGTTTCGAAAAGAAAAGTTTGCCAAACTTGTTTGACAGGATATTATTAAATTGTTTTCTTATACCAAACAGACTGTATACATCTTTGTTATTTCAATTTGTTCCCACGAAATACTTCTACTGAAATGTTGAATAAAATCTTACTCACCTGGTGTCAATTCGACTGATATGAGTGACACGAGACTTGCCTGCACCACAAGGTTCAATCAAGAAATGTGAGGCAAGAACAACACTACGTACACTGCCTTGTAAAGGAGGAGCATCGGGGTGGTCAATGGACATTTCCACAAGAATACAAGAACCTTTGGGAAAGTCTGTTCTCCATGATCTAAAGATAAACCATGTACATTACTAAAATATAACATGTTTTGTGTAATGTTCATTACGTAGATATAACGTTTTGTGTAATGTTCATTACGTAGATATAACATGTTTTGTGTAATGTTCATTACGTAGATATAAAGTGTTTTGTGTAATGTTAATTACGTAGATATAACATGTTTTGTGTAATGTCCATTACATAGATATAACATGTTTTGTGTAATATTCAATATGTATATATAACATGTTTTGTGTAATGTGCATTACATAGATATAACATGTTTTGTGTAATATTCAATATGTAGATATAACATGTTTTGTATAATGTGCATTACGTAGATATAACGTTTTTATGTAATGTTAATTACGTAGATATAACATGTTTTGTGTAATGTCCATTACGTAGATATAACATGTTTTGTGTAATGTTAATTAGATAGATATAACATGTTTTATGTAATGTTAATTACGTAGATATAACATGTTTTGTGTAATGTCCATTACGTAGATATAACATGTTTTGTGTAATGTCCATTACATAGATATAACATGTTTTATGTAATGTTAATTACGTAGATATAACATGTTTTGTGTAATGTCCATTACATAGATATAACGTTTTATGTAATGTTAATTACGTAGATATAACATGTTTTGTATAATGTCCATTACGTAGATATAACATGTTTTGTGTAATGTTAGTTACTTAGATATAACATGTTTTGTGTAATGTTAGTTACTTAGATATACATTGTCGTGTAATGTTAATAACATTAAACTATGATTATCATTTTCTATCAGTAACAAATATTTCACTATATAAATATGTTTCACTTTAAGGGTAGTTATAAGAACTATGATCACATTACATTCAGTTTTAATTCAATGGATGAAGCATGTCTTCTACAGTAATAACAAGTGTATATTTTGATACTTCAAGTTAATTCTCTTTTTTTACACTGACAGTAAATGTCTCCAAAATAAATGAATTCTTAGTACAGAAGATTAGAAAATAAATTATTAATAGACAAAAGTAGTTAAGCAAACTAACTACAGAGAAGAAAGTTAATAAATAATGTAATTATAACATATTACTACCACTGGTGTATGTTTGAGAACAATTTAATTATTAATGCCCAGATAATTAATTCTGTATTTAAAAAAATTAATCCATTTTCAATAATTTATTTTAATATATATAAAGCACAAACATCTGACCAATCTCCAACATACTTTGTAAGGTGATAGTTTGGAACAAGGGGCATATTAATGGGGGATTCACAACCCCCTTCACCCCCCACTATTGCTGTTATTGAGCATTTATTATCAATGACGTAACTTAACATTAACTATGTTCATAGGTGGCACCATGTCCTTACACCATAAGAAAAACTTAAATTTGCCATAATACAATATACACACACAGTGTGGGAGGAGGAGGGCACACAAACATATATATCTCAGAGAGATCTGTTACATACACACACAGTGTGGGAGGAGGATGGCACGCAAACATATTATATATCTCAGAGAGATCTGTTCCTTATACATTTCTACAATTCTTGATCAATCAGTACTAAACTTGACACAGTGATACAAGAGAAAGTTCATGAGGACTCATCTAATTTCATATTGATAGAATTCTTGAAAACAGTACGTCTGTTTTTTCAGTATTGGTACTTTTATGTATATTTATTGCACTTTAAATGTTTATTATGTTAAGAAAAAGAAACATAACCACTATTTCCTATCCTTCGTTACAAACAAATTTATAATTCACCTGTCCAATGGACGGCTACTCCAGCTGGTAGCTAATAAAAAGGTCTTATAGATTAATTTACTCTAATCCTGCCTAAAAGAATTAAGTGCCATGGCTATTGAGGATTCCCTCATAACTGGGACAAAGGATGGGTACCTCAGCTTGTATTATATAAACCAGTAAACTATTTATATTGTAATTATGCTGTTTGAATTCGTAACAGTCAATGTCATAAATTTCTTTGTGACACATAATTCCGTTTGGACACAAGCCTTTAGTTCATAGTTTTTTGGAAACAAATTATAAAATATAAAATACATTAAATTCAAATTCTCTAATCTAATAGGACTTCTATAATATCCAATTTTAATTCATATTTCAAACTCATTTCTGTTTGTTCTACCTCCACTGTTTAGATATTAACCAAATATCTAGATCATTATACAACTGTTTGATATTTAAACATAGACAGTTTGGAATCAATTGTAGGGAAAATATACATAGGGAAAGGTTTAAATTTTAATATACGTTATTAATACACAATGTAGCCACAGATACATAGTAAGTATTGTACAATTGAAAACTAACCTCAGAACACAATAATCTCGAGGAGGATGTGGACCGAGAGAGTTACAGACATACTGGAATATTTCAGTCTGGTGGTCTAGTCGAGAAACAACTCTCCATTTCGCTAATGAGTCGTCCCATACATTTCTGATTAAAGAAAATGATAGTACGAATAAATGAAGTAATCTGAAACATTAATAAAACTATCAAAATACAGCATGTATCCTTTCTTGATGATACTTTGTTGAATGGATGGCAACTGCCTGTTGTAGAGACACAAGTGTAGAGGACGACATTTCGAAAGTCTTTCACTTTTTGTCTTCAGTTGCCATCCATTCTACAAAGTTTCATCACGAATACTCTGCCTAAACAATCTATCAAAGTGTATCCTTTCTTGATTCAGAGGCAAATAAAAACATAAAAACAGGCTTAAATGTTTCTGAATGTGTGACTTTCAGTAGTTAATACTTCACTTGTTCTTACTGTTCCTCCAGTCCTGCTAGTTCTTATCTCTCCCTCATTATCTTGTTCCTTCTTACTATTCTCTCATTATCCTGTTCATTCTTACCTCTCCCTCATTATCTTGTTCCTTCTTACTATTCCCTCATTATCCTGTTCATTCCTACCTCTCCCTATTTATCCTGTTCCTCTTACCTCTCCCTCATTATCCTATTCTTAATATCCCTCATTATCCTGTTCATTTTTACCTCTCCCTCATTATCCTGTTCCTTCTTACCTCTCCCTCATTATCCTGTTCATTCTTACCTCTCCCTCATTATCCTGTTCCTTCTTACATCTCCTATTTATCCTGTTCCTTCTTACCTCTCCCTCATTATCTTGTTCCTTCTTACTATCCCCTCATTATCCTGTTCATTCTTACCTCTCCCTATTTATCCTGTTCCTTCTTACTATTCCCTCATTATCCTGTTCTTAATATCCCCTCATTATTCTGTTCATTCTTATTCCCTCTTACCTCTCTCTCTTTATCCTGTTCTTAATATCCCCACATTATTCTGTTCATTCTTACCTCTCCCTCATTATCCTATTCAAAAGTTCAATTGGTGGAGCTTCCACATCAACTGACACTTTCCAGAGTCTCAGTGGATGACCATCATCCACTTTTTTGTAAAACACTTCAACATCATCATTATGAGGAAACACTATCCAACCTTTGAACTTGTCATGTGCTTCCTATAACATGAAAGAAATATTAACATTCACTATATGAACTACATAATAAATTTTAATTTCAAAATTATCATCTATATCAAAACAAGTACTATCTACTAAACAAAAATGTAATGATATTAATCAGCAATTCAGATTTAAACATATCTTAAAACATATAACATATCTTATCTTTAAACATACATATCTACTAAACAAAAATGTAATGTTATTAATCAGCAATTCAAATTCAAACATATCTTAAAACATATAACATATCTTATCTTTAAACATACATATCTACTAAACAAAAATGTAATGTTATTAATCAGCAATTCAGATTTAAACATAATTCAACCCACGTACATGGAAGTCAATATCACTACCCAATTATGTGTTTTTAAGTGTTTTTAAGGTAGTGATATTGACTTCCATGTACGTGGATTGAATTATATGTTTTTAATGTAGTGATATTGACTTCCATGTACGTGGATTGTGTACGTGGATTGAATTATGGTAGTGATATTGACTTCCATTAAAAACACATAATTCAATCCACATACATGGAAGTCAATATCACTACCTTAAAAACACATAATTCAATCCACGTACATGGAAGTCAATATCACTACCTTAAAAACACATAATTCAATCCACGTACATGGAAGTCAATATCACTACCTTAAAAACACATAATTCAATCCACGTACATGGAAGCCAATATCACTACCCTAAAAACACATAATTCAATCCACATACACGGAAGTCAATATCACTACCTTAAAAACACATAATTCATTATGTATTATCATTTTGTATAATCATGTGACTTATTGTAAATCGATTTCTCTTAGCCTCAATTCTTACATCTCACGTGATGATGCCAGGTGAACTTGATAAAATGTTTTTACAATTAAATGAACAACACAAGTCAGATACAAACTTGACTAAAACAAAGTCATTCACTAACAGCCATATATAAAAAATACACAATTATTTATGAAACTAGTATTAAACAATAATGTAAGGTCCAACTGATATGTTCAGTCACCTTTGGTGATACTGGGAGTAAATTTCAAATTTGGATTAACATGATCTTTATCCAAATAAATTTAAATGCAAAAGAAATAAGAAATGTAATTCTAGAACTAAAGTTTAGGTTTTAAGGAAGAGACAATGTCTAAGTTTCTGGTTAACTTGAGAAACTTAATAAAATACATGATCGCAATTTTTATGAATCTGTTCATGGTTTTAGAATTTTCTACAAAAAACATTTAACTTTGGAATTATCATGGAACAGAAATTTAACATATTTTGTTTTTTAAATAATAAACTGGTAATATATATACAAGAAACTGATATCAAGTTATCTAATTCAGAAACTAAAATGTGCAGATTTGCTTTCAAGAGAGGTTACACTTAACCATTAAACAGAATATTTTTTTGTGAAAACGATATAATTAAAAAAAAAAAACTGCCACTGATACAGGTATTTCTCTATCACTACTTTTGGCAACATTTGTAAGGCTGAGATATTTAAAACTGTAATAATGATTTCAGATATAGGTTTATTTTGCTCTTGTACCTTATGTCAAGACAAAGTGGTGCTTATGATAGCACAAAAAACTATTAAACTTTCCATGCACAAAATAATCTGAGATCTTATTAGTACGATTTATCGAGATCTCAGTCAAATTTTTCTTGTGAAGTACTGACATGTTAGTGCCCGTGTAGGTTGTTTCATGAGACAAAAACTTGTCTTTACATATCAAGTGTATCGAGACAAAACCAGTTGAATACTGGGAGAAGATGAACAGTAAAAACTACTCTTGTCATGCATAACAAAATGATCATCAACACGGTACAGTGGCTTAAGAGACATGGAGACAGATTCTCAACCCTTCCTTTTCATAAAAACAAAGAAATCAATTGTCCAGACAGGTAAGACAACTTGTATTCTTAATTATTCTATCTATCAATTGACATAAAATTGTCGTTATAAAGGAAATACAATCCCTTGGTGATAAAATGCAAGTTTCTAAAAGACGTGTACTTAAGCCCCAAATTAATTTCTTTTTATTCACATTTGAATATCTTAAGTTGTTAAAGAGGCATGCTTGAGTCAAGATAAGCAGATTTTAAACGGTTGTTTAAAAGAATTCAACTAATTAATAAAAGCACATTTTTATTTACATTTTCAAAAAATTTTCAAATCTGAAAATTTTATATCAAAATTTCTTCTGTCAATTTTGAAGTAATAATTTATTTAAATGGATATTCTTCTTGGAAGTATTGTATAATAAAACAAAGATTTTATATCAAGAAAAAAGACTGAAGTTTATCACCAAGAGATCACATTTGGCATTTAACAACCCATTGTAGGAGCAGAGAATGAAGTTTACCACCAGGAGATCACATTTAGCATTTAACAACCCATTGTAGGAGCAGAGAATGAAGTTTACCACCAAGAGATCACATTTAGCATTTAACAACCCATTGTAGGAGCAGAGAATGAAGTTTACCACCAAGAGATCACATTTGGCATTTAACAACCCATTGTAGGAGCAGAGAATGAAGTTTACCACCAAGAGATCACATTTAGCATTTAACAACCCATTGTAGGAGCAGAGAATGAAGTTTACCACCAAGAGATCACATTTGGCATTTAACAACCCATTGTAGGAGCAGAGAATGAAGTTTACCACCAAGAGATCACACTTGACATTTAACAACCCATTGTAGGAGCAGAGAATGAAGTTTACCACCAAGAGATCACACTTGGCATTTAACAACCCATTGTAGGAGCAGAGAATGAAGTTTACCACCAAGAGATCACATTTGGCATTTAACAACCCATTGTAGGAGCAGAGAATGAAGTTTACCACCAAGAGATCAAATTCCCCATTTAATAACACCTTGTATGAACAGAGAGTGAAGTCTACTATTATGGGATCAAATTTCTCATTTAATAAAAGGTTTTATTAGTACAGAATGAAGTTTTCCACTAAGACACTAACAATTCTTCTTCTTTATTTCAAATAAATGTTATCAACAAATATATGTACCTTCTGTAGTCCTTGTAAATACATTTCAACATGAGTTTTCCAGTTATAGTTTGTGGAATTAGTTAGAGTTCCAAGTTCCTCTATAGTTGGAGGTTCCCACTGTTCAGCATTAGCTTGTCCAAGTACTTCTTCTGTTACCTAGAAAACAAAACATTAAACTTTCCTTATTCACACAGCTTGCTGCAGCAAGTTAAGAGAAAGTGGACAAACTAGGAATTCTTTAAAAGTTTAAGAGTAGACTTATTTTATATTTTACAAGTAATACAGTGTCTAACACTGAAAAAACGATAAAAGTCAGTGGCCTGGATATTCTGACAAAAACAACTTACCAGAAAAAGTTGCTTGTAATTATTGATCATGTAGCTTAAGCATTCATGTGCAGCTCGATTCTCATTAAGCTCTCGCTGGTCTGGAATTCCCATGGTTTTTCTACGTCTCGGGCTGACGCTCGCACTCCTTGGAGTAGAGAGATGAAACAGTGATGGTGCGAAGCATACAGCAAGGTTTGTCGCTGTCATCTATATGTATCAATAAATGCTACAGCTTCTGTGCAAACAAAGTTTTTAAAAGATTTTGTTTGTTTGAAGTTAAGCACAAAGCAACACAATGGACTTTCTGTGCTCTAGTCACCATGGGTATCGAAACCCTGATTCTAGCGCTGTAAGTCCAAAACAGATGTGTGATGTGATGAAAGTCATTTAACCCACATTATTTGTATTGAAGATTTTTTTATATATGACAAATTATGGTTCAAAAGAACTTTTAAAACATCTAACTCTACCTATAAATCATAGTTTATAAAAGCTTAGCCACATTAAACTCCCCTTTAAGTTATTTCAAAGGCTGTGTGTTCATATTATTTTCGTTTACTTCAATATTCGCCATTTTAATCATACTATTTCAGGTTTTTCAAACCTTCATTACCTGGTTTTCATCGGAACACTGGGAGACCTCTTGCAGAAACATAAGCAGAGATTGAAGTACTTCTCGGTTTTCATCAGGCATCAAGAGAACTGCGGCCTGTATTGCTTCTTTACGATTCTCTAAGGGAATGTCTGTGAAAATATATACTGTTTAACATTGAGCAGCTTAACAGCATCACAAGGAATACATGTATAAAATAATACAGTTGTTATCACAGCACATTTTTTTGTTTCTTTCCATTTGCTCAAAACAATGGACTAGTACGTCACACATAGCATGCTACAGAAACATTGAGACCTTTTAGAACTAATAAAAACAATGGACTAGTACGTCGCACATAGCATGCTATAGAAACATCGAGACCTTTTACAACTAATAAAAACAATGGACTAGTACGTCGCACATAGCATGCTATAGAAACATCGAGACCTTTTACAACTAATAAAAACAATGGACTAGTATGTCACACATAGCATGCTATAGAAACATC